CGTCGTGTCTGCCGGCCGACACTTTGCTATAATTCACCTGTCCGATGGCTGTGTAACCCCCTCCCGAGAAGCGAGGGGCGGCGCCAGGGGCCGCGAGGCGGGGCGGGGCGGGGTGCCCTCTGCCGTCAGCGGGCGGACTAGCATACAGTAATTGGCAACAAAAGCAGCTGCCTGGGGGGAGGGGGGGGGACTCGTATTGTTCTTTGCAGAGTACCTCATCTCCATACGAGAGAGGCGGTGTAGCATACTAGCACACATGTACACCCCTGAGCCCCACACCCCCACACACACGAACACAGCGACACACACACACATGCCCGCGCTTCTTTTCGGACGGTAAAGCTGTTTTCGAACACCGCGCGAGAGCAAGGCACAGGCAGCCGACAATGTCGCTGACGACGACGCTTCCCTCACACTTCTTGCCCCAAAAGTTAGTGCCGGGAGCAGCGACGCGGCTAGAGAGAAGGGAATGGAACAAGTATGTGACTGTCGGTCTGTCTGCTGGAGCCCTGGAGCCCCCGCCCCGCGCCCGCGCCGCAGACCTGCCACAATGCTTCAGCATACCCTGCTCCGGGCTGATTGCGGCGCCTGCTGGAGTGCCGCACCGCAGCGCGCGGCAACGGCAGCTGGGAGTCTGCTCGAGTCCGGGGCGGGGAGACGCTGAAAAAGAAGGCCCAGTTTGAATAGTCCTTTTACACGACACACCATGACAAACCAAAACTTTTTGTTCGTTTCTTAACGCCATATTTTGTTCGGTGCGAACAACGGTGGCGTCCCGTGAGTTGCCTGCACCTACTTTCAGGCGTCTCAGCTGCTTTTGCATCTGTCCGAATTTCAGACGGAACCCTGTAATTTCCCCATTCCTTGTTATATACTTTTTACACCCCGCGAAGAACTTCCCTGCTGATCTCCGAAACGTGCGCCGAGTTGTTCTTGCTGATATAAGGCGCCTGGAGGGGCAACTTCTTGTGCAGCAGCAGATACTCGGCGAGGCCCCGCCCCGCCCCGCCTCGCCTCGCTGTCTGCAGTCCACATTATCCTCGTTTTGTTACGGAACACGTACATACACTACGTGCCTGGCCTCGGCTGGCTGGCGGCTGGCACTGCCCCTGCGCCCCGCACAGGTTTCTCTCTTGCCGCGCTGTTCCACTTCTTGTTGTTCGCCGGATCCCGTGTACCCTCCGTGTACGGCTCGCCTAACGCCGCTGACCGCGTGGCTCAAGGCCCCCTACCAGATAGGCAACGCGCCCGCAGGCCTGCATTATACCCTACAAAAGTGCGCGGGATCATTCAGGCCCCTGGTACCTTTTAGTAGGGCTATGACACATCAATATGCGGGGTTGCCTACGTGGTCCATCCGTCAGGCGCCGTGGCCCCCAGGGTGGGGTAGGCAAACCCACAACACTGTTGTGTCGTAGCCCTGACACACGGCACACACGGTTCGGTACATTTCCATCTGCCCTCGTCGCCCCGGCGCCCGTTTGCCTGTCGCCACGTTCGGCGCGCTTCCCTGCCTACGCCAAACCAGCAAACCAGCGCTGTACCGCTCATATTATATATACTCTTGCGAGAGCTTCAGGAGCTTTATTTACATAAGTATGGTGTCCCCGTGGTGGCAGGGGCGCTCTACGTGGTGGGAGCGGGGGG